AAGTCACTCAAAACCTATTGAACAAAATTCAAGTAAGGAGATGCTAGTGTATCCTTCAGATTTACTTGAAAACGAGTCTATAGAAGATTGTTTTGAGAGACTTAGAAATAATCTCACACCCAAAAACCAAACCACAAACTCCAATCAAAATGAAGAATCTATACTTCAAGACTCAGAATATTATGACAATTCTGATACTGAGTCTGATATCTTAATTTCCTGTGACTCTATCAACTATCCTGAGGGAAATCCAGTACTCACAATGTACAAGAGGGTCGACAAAAAAGTCAAGCCCGTGTCAGGAACTTTTCCTCAAGGAGCCAGAGTAGATCATCATTTTCCTCATAACCCACTTCAAAACTTAATAGCATTAACTCCACATCCTCCTGAATTTATTCCTAATGGACGTCTAACTCATGAACGTATGGTTGACCTTGGGATAAATTCAAAAGGATTTCTACTACCTGAAGAAGTGAAACTTTCTCAACACATCATGAATTTAAATCAAGAGACCCTAGCATTTGAAGAAACTGATAGGGGTACTCTCAAAGAATCATATTTCACCCCATACATTATTCCCACTGTACCTCATGTACCTTGGGAATATAAGAATATTCCTATCCCACCTGGGATACGTCAGAAAGTTATTGAACTACTCAAATCCAAGATTAACGCAGGGGTATATGAACCAAGCCAATCTGCGTACCGTTCACGCTGGTTCTGTGTACTCAAGAAGAATGGAAAACTAAGACTAGTCCATGATCTTCAACCTCTCAACAAAATTTCTATTCGAGATGCTGGTCTCATTCCTATAGTTGATGACTTTGTAGAGTCATTTGCAGGAGCTCAGTGTCACACCGTATTCGATTTATTCTGGGGATTTGATGCACGTAAAATGCACCCAGAAAGCAGAGATCTTACAGCTTTCCTAACACCATTAGGTCTGCTACGCTTAACAGCCTTACCAATGGGCTACACAAATGCACCTGCAGAATTTCAGAAATGTACCAGCTTTGTACTGCAGGATGAAATCCCACATGTAGCCAATGTTTTCATAGATGACCTTCCAGTCAAAGGTCCAAAGACTATCTATCCTGACAATGAAGGTAATCCCGAGGTCTTGAAGAAAACCCAGGGATTAGACGATTTATTTGGGAACATGCAAATGATGTTCACCGTATCATGCACCGTATAAAAGATGTAGGTGCAACATTCTCCGCTACAAAAATTCAGTGTTGCCTTCCAGACGTCCTTATCGTAGGACAGCGCTGTACTCCAGAAGGTAGACTACCTGATACCGAGAAAGTGTCAAAAATTCTTAACTGGCCAATCCCCACTACGGTTAAAGAAGCCCGAGGATTTATGGGACTTTGTGGGACAGTTCGTATTTGGATACTAGGATTTTCTGAACTAGCAAAACCTATCACCCAACTTTGGAAAAAAGATGCCCCTTTTATTTGGGGAGAGAAGCAAGATATTTCTTTCGAAACTTTGAAGGAACGTATATGTTCAGCACCAGCAATGAGAAGCATTGACTATACTTCCTCAAATCCCGTATATTTATCAGTCGATTCCAGCTTCATAGCTGTAGGAATCATCCTTTCACAAATAGATGATGAAGGACGACGACGACCAGCACGATATGGTTCTTTACCTATGGGGGATGCAGAGTCACGATACTCTCAGCCCAAGTTAGAATTGTATAGACTGTTCAGAGCACTTCGACATTACAGACTTCACATCATTGGAGTTCAGAACCTCCATGTTGAAGTTGACGCAAAATATATTAAAGGCATGCTTAATGAGCCCGACCTACAACCAAATGCTACAATCAATAGATGGATTCAAGGAATTCTCCTATTTGATTTCACACTTCACCATGTACCAGCAACAAGTTTCAGAGGGCCTGATGGCTTATCTCGACGCCCTCTAGCTTCAGACGAAGAGATTATCCCTGAAGATGACTCTTGGTTAGACGAAATAGCCCTATTCACATCAATCTCAAATTTCACTGCACATCCATATAATCCCAATAACCTACCATCCGTATTCTTGTCAGCTGCTGATCAAGAGCAGACTTTGACAGATATTTTCAAGTTCCTTACCACACTTGAAGCACCAAGTTTTGAAAGTACTGCTAAACGCAAGAAATTTGTCAAGCGTACAACTCGATTCTTCGTACAAAAGGGAAAGATGTACAAGTGTCTACCAGATAGACCCCCTTTACTTGTTATTTTTGACCCCGATAAACGACTGTCTATACTGACAGGAGCACATGAAGATTTAGGTCACAAAGGAGTACAGTCTACCTTTGAGACTATTCGATACAGATTCTTCTGGCCACATATGTATACCGATGTTAAGCACCATGTACAATCTTGTCATGATTGTCAGATTCGAAGCACCAAGAAAATGCACATACCTATCACAGTCTCTACACCTGCCACAATCTTCACAAAGATCTACATTGACATACTCAAGATGCCTGCCGGGAATGGTATGAAGCATCTAGTGTTAGCTCGAGATGATCTTTCACGATATGTAGAAGGAAGAGCATTACGATCTGCCTCTGCCAAAGCTATGGCCAAGTTTTTCTGGGAAGACTTGTATTGCCGATATGGAGCAATAGGACAGATAGTTACCGATAATGGCTCCGAAGTTAAGGGAGCATTCCAAAATTTACTTCAACAAGTGGACATTCCACAGATTCAAATCTCGCCCTACAACTCACAAGCAAATGGGGTAGTTGAACGTGGACACTTTAATATCAGAGAAGCAATAGTAAAAAGTTGTGAAAAGCACATCTCACGATGGCCTGAGAAGGTTCCTCAGGCACTCTTTGCCGAAAACATTACCACAAGCCGTGCAACTGGATTCTCACCTTTCTACCTATTACATGGAGTCCATCCTGTTCTACCTTTTGACCTTAGTGAAGCAACATTCCTTGTTGATGGATTTCACGAGAATATGAATCCTGTTGATTTCCTCACATTACGAATACACCAAATTGAAAGACGTCCTGAAGACTTGAGACGTGCCGCTAAAACATTAAAGAAGGCCAGATTTAAGTCCAAGCTTCAGTTTGAACAGAAATATCATCTGAGGATGCATAGAAAATCATTTGCACCAGGTGATCTTGTACTAGTCCGAAATACTCAAGTTGAGAAAGTACTGAATCGCAAAACAAAACCACAATACTTAGGACCCTTTGTTGTTGAGAGACAAACCAAAGGTGGATCCTACATTCTAAAAGAAATGAATGGAACTCTGTCTAGACGTGGTGTAGCCTCCTTTAGACTAATTCCATATATAAGCCGAAATGATCCTACTCTGCAAACAATTGCAGATACTCTTGACAATGATCAATACTATGAGGAAAATTCATCAGGATCAGATTCAGATACTTCTTTCCTCTCAGAGGACAAATAACAAAACACATCACATCATGAATGGAAAAGACTCCACTATAGAGAAGCGAATTCAACAAAACATTGCAAGTTTATTTGACATCTTGTTAGAGGATTGCAATAAACTTCACGAAGACTTTATTTTTCAAGATATCAGAACCCATTACAATCAAATGATATACTTCTGGGATCATAATTACCAGGAAGCATTATCACAAATATGTCCTACATGTGCAGTATACTTTGAAATTTTCAGACTCCTAGATGAATGTCACCATCTTGTCAACCCAGAAAACAGATGGAGGAGTTAACAACATCACAATTAACAAAATGTCATGACCTACCCTTCAACTGGGGACAGTTGCGATTTTTTGTCCGGGGTGGATGTCATGCATGGTATGTGATTCATACCATGTCAGATATATATAGAGAGTGATAAGGAAGATATGAGAGACTGTCTGGCCCTTTGTCACTAAATTACCTCTCTATTTTTCCTTTATTTCATTGTCTTGTATTTTATTTCTCACTTTACAGGCTTATTTTACCTTGTATTTGTATCAAGCATGTGACCTTCTGTTTATTTCTCATTGTTTATTTTTATTTGGCTTCTTTCAGCCACCAAGTTTTGTATCTCTATTTATTTCTGACTGTTTATTTGTATTTGGCTTCTTTCAGCCACCAGCTTTTATTTGTCATCACATCATGTGACTGGGAAATATTCTGGTTTGTAACATTATTTAAGCTGACTCAACATGTTTAGTCATGATTGGCCATGCTTTGTAACAACATTTAACATGACTCAACATGTTTAGTCATGGTTTGTCATGGTTTCTAATTTCTTTGTAAGATTACACTGTATTTGTAATGTACTTAGTAATAAGCTGATTCATCACCTGGTTTGTAAGCCACATTCTTACCAATCCATCTGATTAATCATGCTTAGTAAGGGGGTTCCCAAAAGGTATAAAAGGACCCCATTTTCACCCATGAAATACAATCCTCCCACTTGACTCTTATCTCAAACTGTGTGAGACCACTAAGACTTAAAGTGCAGGCCAATATAAGTGCCTTGAGGTAATCTAAGATATCATTATCTATTCTAAAAGTTATATACTACCTTACAGGGGTCGACTATATAACTTTCATTATCGTTATTCTACTCTAGGTTATATACTACCTTACAGGGGTTGACTATATAACCATTGAACAGCTCTCATTCTAAGCTTTACGTGTATTCATAAGACTCTCCCTTTCAACGGAAAGTGAGACACATCTAAGGACAACAAAGTTGAAACAGACTTTCATAGGTTGAAACACGACCTACTAGGCTGAAACAAACCTAACGAATTTATCCAGAACACAGAACATTCCACAACAACTTCGTATAAGACTACACAAGAAGAGGACAACAAACTAAATCCTCCCAAGAACTCACCACATTACCTCCCACGAAGTAGAAAAGTCGGAGACCGTGGACTTAAGGACTGGCAAGAAGTCTTCACCGTGTATAATTGTGTTGTCATTATACACAACTTTCATATAAGACCCTTAAGTAACAAGACACCGCGTTCTCCCAAAAGCTTCACATGAACGCGGCATCCGCAATGCCCTCGATATTGTGGAGCTCACGAAGAAGGAGCTGCCCTTGCCATAGAGGAACCTCGTTAACACGCCACACCTCCTCAGCTTCTTTTTGAACTTTGTCCTGCGGAACCGTGTTCTCCCAAAAGTCTCACATGAACGCGGCATCCGCAATGCCCTCGATATTGTGGAGCTCGCGAAGAAGGAGCTGCCCTTGACATACAAGATTGGGCGGGCGTTACCCGATGTGCTCAGCACTCTCAAAGAACATGGGCGACAAACTCGACAAGGAGAAGGGCCGGTATGTTTCCTTTCACTCCTCTACAGCATCTTCATTGACTACTTTACTTAGCGAGTCTATCGAAGCACCTGACTTTAAACGAAACGCTTCCACTGACCTCATTCGTCAACGAGCCGTCAAACGCGAACGTTCCCAGGAGGCCTCCCAAAACGCCCAGCCCAGCACGCTCCTTCCCCACAACCTCCTCTTGATCTTACACCTTCTCTGGCGAAGGCTCCACCCCCACCAAACCTGACCTCAGGCCTAGTGCTGAGTTCAGAGAGGGCCGCAGACGCAGGAGAGGTGACGGTTCCTCTGGCACTAACCATGCCTCTTTAGATGCTCTATCCACCCACGAAGAACTCGACATTCTCAAAGTCGAGCATTCCCATACTTTCTCCTCCCAAACTTGTGCCCTTCAAGATCTCCAAACCCAAGAAAAAGACCTGCGCTCACAGTTTGAAGTCGCAGTATGGGAAAAGGCAGAGAGTGACATCATGTTGTGCATGAGTTAAGAGCGCACGGGGTCATTGATGGATGAAGTTGCGAAGTTGAGGAGGATGGTGCACGAGATGCAGCAGACGATTCAGAGTGCAGTTGCACAAGGAGCGGGATTGGGATTGGGATTGGGATTTAATTGGGAGGGTGTGATCCAGGACGAGTTCTATGGACAGTATTTTGAAGATCCTGGCTGCATCTGGTGCAAGGAGGGTCAGTGTCAGTTCGAGCGTGCCCAGCAGATAGGAAGGAAATGCGACGGCGAGCACTGAAGTGCTGAGAAGGGCTGTTCCTGCTTACTGGACTCGCTGCACTTGAACTAAACGTGTTAGTCCTACTGCAACTTAGATTTCGTCGTGTCGCGCATTAAAAATTGTTCTATTGAAGAGTGTCATGGCGTCAAGTAAAGCAATGGGCTATGATAAGGCGTGAATTAATCTTCTGAATCATGCTAAGTCCTTCGGCAATCTCCATTGGCTTATTAGTCAGCTACTGACCTCTTGCAAGACTGTTCATAGCGTTACAATTATGACAGCAGCATCGCAACGGTTTTCATCTCATTATCGAGCCCCCCAAGAGTCCCAAGGTCACAAGAAACACTCACATCTTGTGACTTCTTGTGATAATAACTGGTACTGCTCGCTCAATTCTCCATCAAGTATTAATTTATACTTACTATCAATATCACCCATTAGCCGCCTTCAAAAATCAAGTGTCTGCAGTCTGAATCGTCGCCCGAGACACAGTGTGCTACCGGACATCATCGCGCGTGGTCCACACAATGTTGCAGATATTTTCTGTGAGAACGTCAAGGTTCATCGTGTTCGTGAGTGTTACAGTGGGTTCTGCTGCCAATGATCTAATGCATTGAGTAGAAGATGTTGTCTGCAGCACTTAACCAACCGTTCCTCGACGTTCTTCACGCTGTCATCACCCTGGCATGAACGGAATACAAAATTGGTCGGCTCCTTGGTAAGTACTGAGAATGTTTCTCGTGTTCCTCGGCTAAGTACTTGTCTCTCAGGATTCTGATAATACGGTGATGTAAGTGGAATTGGAACACCGTGCTGATTGATTTTGACAAATGATTAGCTTGCCATGAGGATGGTGCGTGCATTATTACTCTCTCTCCCTCTTACTCCGACCGTTTCATTACTAATATTAATACTCGTGCAGCTATTTTATCTTCCACGATGCTCGTTAGTGCTCTGCCTTTGAACTGGACCCTTCTGAATCCGCCTTACAACCACAGACTATGTACCAATAAAGGAGAAATCTGATCCAGTTAGGCCTCGATGCATAGGTGAGTTCGTTCGCTATGCTTCAGTATCGTGTCATATTAATAATGACTTATCATCACTCTAGACAGCACCGCATCGATAGCGGAGACGGAACTGTCTCATTATAAGCAGCATGTTCAGGTCTGTTGCTGCTTGTGTCCCGTCACCCATTCTCACTATCTCGTCACTAACGGTTTCAAAATGATGCCTCACAGAGACTCTGACGGCGAAGACTTCGAAGCTGAGCTCAATGCAGTCAGCGATGCTGAAGATTCAGACTCTGAAGGCTTGAGTGACGATGATCTGGGAACGTTGAGGGCAGTCCTAACTGTTCCTCAGCCTGATGCACCAATGCACGAAGTTCGCAAGGTAGATCTGTGTTTTATTATATTCTCTACTGTACTAACATAATTCTACACACACAGGCTCTTGAAACTGCTCAACAAGCTTACAATACGCTATGAGTAGAGTTTCGAGCTCTTAAAAAGGACTACTTCACTCTTTCGGCCACTGTTCCCGCCTGCAGCCGCAACCGCACTCTCAAGAAGACGTCTGCACTCGATATGAAGATCACTTCCCAAGGGAAGATCTATGCGTTATTCTATCACTTTTGAGTCATCCCTGGAGTATTTCCGACGACTCCCCAGCCTGATGTTGACCCACGCAGTTCTTCGCGTTGGGCATCTCCCGAGGCCAAGCTCGATGGTTCTATGGCCGAATTGTACCAGTGTGTGCCCCAGGATCTCCACAAGTCCATGGAGAAGTACACGGCCTTTGATTCCTTGGTATGTCCTTTCCTCTCTTATCAATACAGTTCATTAATATGCTTATTATTACTATTAGTTTCGTGCTGCAGTTAGCGCAGAGCGTTCAAACATTGTACATGCTATCAAGAGTTGCGCAGGCATTATCTTTTCAGATCTCAAGCTGGATCCATCGCTCTTTGCATCTCAGACAGATGTTAGAAAGCAGGACAACGAGGACCTCCTTGCATTACTGAAATGAAATGGCAATGGAGAATACATTCGGCTGGCACCTGTCCTATTCACGAGACCTGATGTAATGTCTGCTGATGAGTTCCTCAAGAGTCTGGTCCTTGTCAAAGTAAGTACTGCGGCTTTCATATAACACAGCATACTAACAGCTCACTAGATCATTTGCGTCGAGATATTCGGGAAGAAGGTCCTGTCTGGGAAGATCAAAGGTCAGAAGGCCAGGGGCCAGCGTTGCAATGTGCAGTGTGTAACCAAAGGGTTGATTGCGGGTGCCGCTGTTATGGTAAGCAATATTTTCTCTTTTATTCATTTAATAAATGTTCGTTGACAATTCCAGGCGCGTTTTTTGTTGACGCACGATCCTGAATTCACAGCGACGGGTGCCGAGACCAAGATCAATTACCAAGCCGACTACGATTTCTACCTAGAGCGCTTATTCAAGCGCACACCATGGGCCTGTAGTGTCATGAACTTCTTCAATAAGGAAGTCTTCAACATCACCAGCCCGTCTCATGCACCAGCCTCTGATGACTCTTATACCATCCCTCAACCTCGCACATGGGAGGACGACCTTCTTGATGAACTCGATGCTCCTATAATCACTCAGGTTTCGACTCCGACGACTCGCACTCCTTCACCTGCCGCTAGCTCGGCAATAGTCGATGTCACGTCCAGCTACCACACGTCCATGTCCATCAACCAAGGACAATCTGTGTCCACAACGTCGCAGCTGCAACTTGGTGTTAGTCGGTTGTCACTGGGTAACCATGAGCCGCCTGTATCAGGGACTCACAGTGCATCTTCTCGTCAATTTCTACTCCCAGTTGCTCAGCCCCCCGTACCAGTGACTCACAGCGCATCTTCTCCTCAATCTCGACTCCTGGTTCCCGAGCCTTCTGTATCAGTGTCAATGACCCACAGCGCATCTTCCTTTCAGGCTCAACTCCCAGTTCCCGAGCCACCTTTCGTGTCGGAGCCTGACAAGGCTACACGTGTCACTCACCATGGCAGCACCAGAGCAGTTGCTCCTACCAAGGCCAGAAAGGGGAAGGGGAAGCGCTGATATGGTCAGATTTTTGGTATTTTCTGTTGTCTTACAGCTATATTATAAATAGCACAGTTGACATTAGAATAGAATTAGAAAACACGCTCGAGTCCTTGGAAATCTATTTTTGTCTTGCAATCTCATGTCGACCCTTCTAAAGCCTTGCAATGCTTACATGATTGGTCTGTGACCCCCGCCTTTGCAAGGCATCATAATGTGGGAACGGTTCCCTTTTAAGACACATCGGGGTGAACAATATTTAAAAGAGGTTTATATGTTGTACAAAATGTGAAAACAATATTTGATATTTAAACTGACATAAAGATGGGTGCACGACTTCAAATTTTGGTGGTGTTTTGTGTGTCATCCAAAATATCAAATATTCACAACCATATTCCCACAGACAATATGTCAACAAATATAATAAATATAATCAGATTTTCCATGTCTGCTTCAATTTAAAGTTTGATTCTTACATAACACTTTGGAGAAAACTTGAAGTTTTGCCAAAGCTTGACATTTAAATCGAGTTTTAATGTCATGTCATCTGTAAAACTTCAAGTTTTCTCCAAAGTTTTACATGGAAATTGAACTTTAAGTTGAAGCAGACATGAAAAATCTGACTATATTTCTTATGTTTGTTGACATATTGTCTGTGGGAATATGGTTGTGAATATTTGATATTTTGGATTACACACAAAACACCACCAAAATTTGAAGTCGTGCACCCATCTTTATGTTAGTTTAAATATTAAATATTGTCTTCACATTTTGTACAACATATAAACCTCTTTTAAATATCGTTCACCCCGATGTGAGACGCCTTGAAAGATTATCTCTGTCATTGCGATGCCTTAAAAGGGGATGTGTGAAAATTATGCCTTAAAATGTATTGTAAGGCCCTAAAATGGTGCCTAGAAATTTCCGACAAACGTCACAGATTAGGTGAACCTCGCCTGTTGCATATTTTCTTTTGTGCCCGCCAGCTCTCTATCCTTTTCTCGCTGCCTGCCCGGTAATGACCATCGTGATGTCTTCGTCGCAACAGGCAGATGTTGCCTTTTTTGCCAGCTTCTCTCTGCATTCATCGGCAATTTGCATCGTTCTTGAATCTTGATCATCTGTGCAGGCTGCGGCGTTGCTATTCGTAATTCCTCTTTCGATCTGTTGCGGCAACCTGGATGGATACTCGGGCAAGCCGATGCGGCAAAGGTATGTCCTCACTGTGTGGTTAGAACAACACAGTCTATAAAGGCTTATTCCATCCATCAAATATATTATAACTACTGTACAAGTGGGATACATCCACGGTTTGAGGCATTGTGTACTTTTAAAATGCTCCCAAGGTCCATGGAAGTAGGTCTTTAGCACTGCAGACAGTGACCAGGCGTGTCTTTCAATCCTCTGCGTCACACCTCACTGTGCGTGGGACGCTCGTCGGTATCTTTCGTTCCAGACCGGCTATTTCCTCGATAACGTAGCCCTTATCTTGCCAAAGACAGTGAGCAGGTGTATCATTCAATCCTCCGCATTGCCCCTCATGTGTGGGACGAAGTCTGGGCCAAAGTACGGGCTAAGTCTGGGGGCGCCTATCGGCATCTCTCATCCCAAACCGGCCATTTCAGATATCCTTGATAACGTAGCCCTTATCAAGTTTGACTGACTAGGCGCCCGTGCCTGCCACACATGCTTGCGTAAAGATGACAAAAGCTAGGTCAACTGGAGCTGAATCCTTCCACTGGATCCTCCTGCACCCTGACCAGCACTCAGACGTCTCTGCCTTGAGTTCTTCCAGGCATAGCGCCACTATGTCGCATGTTTCTATGTCTTCAGTGACTAAAGAACAGCCGTCACCTGCTGCCAATCCCAACCCACGCTCTGCATTCAGCGTCGTACGACAGAAAGTGACTACGAAGCATGGCTGGTTTAGTGACTATGATTATCGATGGCTCTGTCTGCCATCTCTTCCTACAGCTAGAAGCAAACAACCGCCATTTTATGGCATCGACGACGAGCTCCCGCTCGTGCTGGCTATAGCAAGCGGGTTGCAGCATGCACTTGCGATGCTTGCAGGTCTCATTGCACCGCCCATCATTTTTGCCAGTGCCTTAATGCTGGACTCTGACACATCATCATACATGATATCAGCTTCACTCATCGGGTCTGGTACGTCTGGCCATAACGAACTTACACTCACGGAGAACTGATTTAGGAATCAGGCATTCTAAGTTTAGTCCAAATGTCACGCGTAAAGTTATGGGGCCGCTATCGTCTTGGTACTGGGCTTTTGTCCGTGGTAGGGACGAGTTTTGCTACCCTCAGTACAGCAAGTGCGGTATGCGCGCCTCGGTTCTGTGCATGTGACATTATTTGATGAGGTGGATAAACGCAGATTTTCGACATGATGTACGCCAACGGCACATGTCCTTCGACAACTGCTGCGGATGGCACTGTCACACGAGGACCATGCCCAGATGCTTATGGGATGCTACTTGGTAAGTCGATCTTGAGTTCTCAGCAATATATAAGTTACTGACGTTATGAAGGCACTTCCCTTATCTGCGCATTTTTAGAGATCGGATTATCATTTCTTCCTCCGCGGGTTTTGCAACGGATTTTTCCTCCCATAGTCACTGGTATGATTACGGCTTAGCGTTGTGCCTCAAGGCTCACTTATCTCAGGCACCTGTATCCTCATGATCGGATCATCTCTCGTCGGGTCCTCTGGCATCCTTGACTGGGGTGGTGGTTCGAATGGGTGTCAAGCGCGCCCGACTAGCGGGATCTATCAGTTATGCCCGACAGTTGGGTCTCCCCATGCATTACCGTATGTCTGACGCATTCGAATCCAGTATATTAATGACGTTCTATGACAGATGGGGCTCTCCTCAGTTCATAGGTCTCGGGTTCCTCTCTTTCGTGAGCATAATTCTCACAGAACTCTTCGGCTCTCCGTTCCTCAAGAATGCGAGTATCATTGTTGGGCTTGCAGTAGGATGCATCGTTGCTGGCGCAGCCGGGTACATCGACGGAAGTACCATCACGAGTGCACCTGCAATCACATTCTTATGGTAAAATATCCATTCTTGCATGTTGATACGAAGTCTGACTGTTGGGTAGGGTATATCGATTCAAGATTAATGTGTATCCACCAGCTATTTTACCTATGCTAGCAGTTTACGGTCGGCATATCTCTTTTTCTTGGGACAGGCTGGCTAAATGAAACGTCGACGTCAGTATCAACGACAATGGAAGCAATTGGCGACATAACCGCGTCTTCGGAAGTGTCCCGTATCCCTGTCGAGGGAGAGGATTTCGATTCAAGAATACAAGGCGGCGTTTTGGTTTGTCTTTCCATGGATATGGCTACTAATGATATTCTGATTTATGTTGCAGAGCGATGGGATAGGTGGATTTATTTCTGCCTTATTTACTGTCACTCCTCTATCGGTGTTTGCCCAGGTTTGACAAAATCTTCTATCATTGCGGTGCCTGGTCTTATCTTGTGGTTGGCATAGAATAATGGTGTCATTTCTGTCACTCGCTGTGCAAACCGCACCGCAGGACGATGGTGTTGTGCCTTCCTCATCATCTTCGGTTGCCTCGGAAAGATCTCAGGGTTCTTCCTTGCAAGTATGCCTTATGCCTTGTTAGTCCTCTTTCAGGCACTTACCATTCACAGTACCCAACCCCGTCTTGGGCGGTGTAACGACGTTCCTCTTCGCGAGCGTCGCCGTCTCAGGCCTCCGCGTTCTTTCTTACATCGAGTACACGCGCCGCGACAGATTCATCCTCGCTGCAGCATTGTCGTTCGGCGTCGGGGACCTTCTTGTGCCCACTATCTTTACTTATCTATTTGATGGTGTGAATAACCCGAATAAAGGCCTCCAAGGGTTGTTTGAGAGCATCACGATTGTGCTAAGCACGCCCTGTCAGTCAACAAGTTTCACGCTTTGTCACTGTCACACGATACTAATACCATTGACGACAGTTTTGATATCTGGCATCGTTGCCTTGGTGCTGAACCTGATACTTCCGCGGGATAGGTCACAGCAGGACGAAGATGAGGAGGTTGTAAATGTTGCACAGGATTTGGAGATTCAGGTACTAGAACGGGAGCGATGACTCGGATGTGACTTGTACAGCGCATGCCACGTGTATACACTCCCCTGCAGACCGAGCTGGCGGTTGAACGTTCTGAACGTTGAACATTTAATCCCATGCGTGCCTCGTTCGTGAGTGAAACAGTTTTATAACGTCATGTATAGGAAAGAGCATTCCGGCTTACAAGACCTGGAATATCGATAGCTCACTGATTGACCGCTGCCTGCGTTGTGTTTCGTACTCTTCCAGGTATACTAACCATTTCCAATACTCAATCCCTGCCACAACTTTCCTTTTCGCGAGTGTTGTTGTTTCAGGTTTCCGTGTTCTTCCTCAAGTGCATGCGGCGTGCCAGATTCATTCGACGTTGGGGACTTAGTCGTGCCGGCCGATATTTTTCTATACCTTCCTGTTTGGTAATGTGAGCAACAAAAATTGCTCCCAAAAGTTGTTTAAGAGCATTATCAATGGATCAGTGAGCACACTGAGTGGAGAAGCCCTTGAGCATCCATAACGGTAATTTGATATCCAGGTTTCTTCCATTACTGCTGAACTTGCTACACCACGAGGATGGGTTACAACAGAATGAAGGTGAGTACGTATTTGGCAATTCAGACACTAGATCAAGATGAAAGTTGTGATCTATTCAGAGATTAGGCAGGTGAAAGTCAATCTGATATTCCCAAGCCCGTTGTAAAACTATCGCAAGCGTTCGAATTTAAACATAAACTTGACCTGGATGAAGTAAACGACCGCAATTGCTAACTTAGCTTTACTCTTGATCGAAAGTCATGACGAAATGTCTGCATGCCGAGAAAGAGATTTAGTACTTCCATCAACAGTTGAACACGCCTGATGTGAACCCGTAAGTAAAATGCTATCCAGGAGAGATGATTGCGCGAATGCAAGGTATA